CCGGCCTTTGACAACCTCATCAGCATACTCAACAGACAATGACCAACCAAACTGTTTATAATGCTCGTTGACATTTCTCAGGAACCTCAGCGAAACTTGGATCATTAAAATTATTGCAAACATCCTATCACGTGGATCGAAGCATCAGACAATTTTATGAATCTAGTGTATATTAGAGAGGAATACAGTAACAATAGTTCAAGGGATGTAATCATTGGATCAAAGGTGTGTATGTTTAAGTCAAATACAGATTAGTCTACTGGTAGGGTGAGTGTTTTTCCAAACACATTGTTTAGATAAGGATGTAAAATGGGTGTATGTGTGTACACATTCTGAGGTTACCCATAAATAACCTCAAAGTTCCCTTTATAGGCCACCAATAAAGGAAAAGACCTATCTAGTGGTGATGTTAGACTTTTCTTGCATTGGCTAAGCATGGTTTCTATTCTATTAATGCAGAAAAAGTGAGAAAAGTTTTTGAGTTGATTCACTAGGCCAAAAATTGCACACCAAATAAAAAAAGGTGATCCGCTTGAAAAATGAACTTTGCATATATGACATAGTATATATATCGCATGAAAATGTGCTACACAGAAAAGAAAACACCCAATGCAAATTATTTTCGGGGTCATACAAATAGTTCATTGATCATCAACAGTGCAACCAAAGTATATCAATAGTTGTGTTCAACTAAAGGTTAGGTTAAAAGAAATAAAGAAAAATAAGGAAAATGAGTCTAGTATAAGCAACCAAATTACAGTTGAGCGATCGTCAAACATCTAATGCTCCAATGGTACTGGAGTATATGATAGTACAAGATAAATGGTGCTATAAACATGCATATTGCAACGAGCATCACTATCTTTATGTGCTTCCCCAGTCAACCTTGAAGGGCCACGTCCAATTTCTCCCCCGCAAAATATTCCTGCCAGCGGAACCCCAGGGAAGTTCTCCACGAATGGAGAACCATCAACATTGACGCGTCCGAAGAATGACTCACCACGGCCACAACAAGCGAACATAAAACCCCCGAATACTTCGCTTATATGACAACGATGTTTTGAATCTTCATCTGACTTCAACTTTTTAAGGCTTAAGGAGACATTGTTACATGAAGATAATGCAGATTCGGGGTCAGAACGATAGAAATGGAAGTAATCGGCAGTTTTAATGCCAACACCACTGACATAAAGGTACTCATCATCTCCTCTGTGGAAAAGGCCTCATGTTAATACTTAAATCAATAGATTTATCAAAAAAAGTTTTAAATCAATATAATAGAAATTCAAAAGAGAGCTGGTATACTATCCATGCGGAACTGTGCAGGAAATCCGTTCCGAGCCCAAGATCAAAAGTTGCAAAAGACAATACAAGCCAGTTAAAGATGAAAAGTTCTGAATATTACCCTACAACTCCGTGGAATTCTAAGGACGTAATCATTCTTGGCTTCTCTGATCCCATGGAGATATTTCTTCGTTTTATAACCCCAATGTATAGATCAGAAGAATCAGCATAATCTTCTAACTGTCACATAAACATTTCAAAAACAAGAAAAGTACTTGTAAGAATGTATGATACTTATATAAAACAGGTTTTACATTTACTATATTTGTTAAATAAATTCCCTTGTAATATTTTTTGGATTCACTAATCCAACGTAAAACAATACTTCAAAGTCAACTGGCACTTTCTGCAGATTTTTAACATGCACCACTTGGAAATTTTAAATGTGTTCTTTTACCTCATCGTTGATGTCATTAAGAAGTTGTTGACCATCAAGAATCTCTGGGTGTCCTTCTCTTCTTGCAGTTAGCCAAGTAGAATGCTCACAGTGGTTCTCTTTAACAGAAACAGCCTTGTGCCTGGGACCTACTGTTGACACTCCTTTTGACAATGCAATTTGGAATTGAATATCTCCCATACCTTCTCATTTATACCAGACCAGATAAGTGATAATGAAACACATTGGGCAGTTTGATATAATAACTTTACAGAATAAGAGGGCAATCATAGATATACTACATGATTACTAGAGTAACTGCAAAGGGGTGGGCCAAGGTTTCCATATGAAAGCAGGAAGAAGAAAACAAAGAAAGTGACTAGGAAAGTTCAGAAGCAAGCATCTATGAAACCTTATCAGCACATAATGAGGTGTGTCAGATACAATCTGGAAAGTTCAAAAAAAGAAAAAACAAACACTTACTCATAAAAATAAAAACAATTTGGAAAAAGCAATGCATTAAAAAAACGGAAAACCTTTATTTATCAAAAGTTGAGATTAGCATGCATCTCAAATATGGAAACCAGATTAAAGTCAATTGTGAATTTATGCAATTTTGAAAAATCACTGTTCCAAAATTTGAAAACAAACTGTGATCGAAAACAAAACCCATTTTGTTAAAGTATGCAAGCATTAAACATGAAAAGCATAAGTAATATGCTTCAGAATTGAATACATCTGGCTGTGTTTTAAATTGGCAAAGGGGGTTTTGCAAAATATACTGCAACCCGAAGTGGCTTCAGATTTTTGAAGGCTAAGGTAGCAATCTATCAAGAAATGATATATATCTTTTATTTCTTTCTTCAAATTTTGTCAAGGCATACAAGTTAGCTATGTGAACAGGAAACTACACTGGAAACAACATGAGGAGCACAATAATGTATAAATAAAGAAATTAAATCATTACCAGACGGCTTGTCTTTGTCCCTGGCAAATATAAGAGCAACAGCATCTGAAAAGTATTTTGCACTCCCACAGACATTTCTAGACTCATTCCCACTTCTATACAAAAAGCGACCTCTCTCATCACCCACAATGACCGTTTCCATAGGCATAGAATAGTCTGCAATAAATGAGATATTGAGATATAATCAACAAAAGTTGATCCAGTAAGATCTTGCAACAGAAAATTTTATTGCAACACACAAAAATTTGAAAGTATCGGAATGTCTCCCTCATGTTTCAAAAGCTAAACAAATCATTCCTTGTTTTTCCTAGCCATGAAACAAAGTGCTTTTTTTTCTTTTCTTTTTCATATTCCTCTTCTAACCCATTTCTTTTTTAGCAGTTAAAGTTTTCAATTATAAGCATAAAACTACTTTCATGTTTTTCCTCATAAAGACAGTCTAATTAAAGAAGATATAAAAACATAATATGATTACACAGTGAGGATACTCACCCAATGCATCAATTATTGGTTTCATGTTAATAAGCCCATCCTGTACCATCAATCATGTCAAATATTAGCAATGCAACAATGGAAAACTGCAGTTGATTTTTAATAGAGGGAAAAAACAAGGAAAAAAAGAACGAATAGACAATCAAGTATGAGGACAGAAACTCACTCCAAACATCATAATTCCAACAGGGAAGGTGCAACCTGAAACAGAGGCTGTGTAATCTTTAATATCCATGATGAATTTATCAAGCAAGACCTCTCGAGGTTCCTGATGTCATTGTAAACGTTTATGCGTCAACAAATCCATTACTGCAGAAAGAGCTTGAAAGATTCTACAAATTCCCACAAATGATAATAACAACCGAAACTATATGTCCCAAGTTTCCACATCTGAAATTCATCACTGTAGAACTTTCAAAAAAATCAGCATTTCAGATTCATTGTAGAATTTGGCACCTTTGTTGATCTTAACAGTGGGATAGCATCAACTTTCAATCCCGGCACAAAGCCAACAGTCAAAAGGATGCCGTAGTTCACATCCTTTGCTGGTATAGAGCAATCTTCATCACTTCCATCACCACAAACATCTCCCCACTTAACCTAATGAACCAAATTTTACCCAAAATTAGTAAAGAGTTAAACTTGCTGCAAAGTAATGAACAAAAACTAGGCGAACCCCCAAAAACACAACTATCTATGAAACCTCTTTGAATTCATGGGTAAGAGCATCTCTTCCAATAATTCCGCTTGAAGTAGAAATGATAAACGGAACGCTGGACCCCAATTTTTTTGATATCTACAATATTAAACAGTAACACAAGAAAAATCCATAATTTGATTTTTTTAATTAAATATGTGTATATACAATGAAGTAAATTAAGGTTCATAGGATCAAGAACACATACAAGCTTGAAAATTTCATACAAGCGAAACCCACTGCCAATATTAGCTACAACGAAATGAGGTCGTATCGGCTCAGCTAGAACCTTCTCGATAACCTCTTTCACAGCAGCCTATCAATTCCAAGACACAAAAATAAAGCTTGACATACATATGTACGCAGAGAAAATGTGTGATAAAATGTGGGTGCTCGTGATTTTCTCGGAAACCAAACAGGGGCTAAACCTTAGGCGAGGGGTGGAGAGAGAGGGCGGAGGCTAGTTTTGGGCGAGAGAGGATTCGACTGCAGATTTGGTTCCAGGATTTGCTACCGCACGCCGCCGATGCGAAGGATAAGGCGGGCAGGCGCGAGAGGATGTTGTGGAGAAGGTCGTCGTTTATCGGCGATAACAACCCCGCCGTCGTTTGGGGCCGTTTCATGTCGCTTTTGTTTTTGATCGTTAACGACGACGACGATGCCTCGTCCATCTTTGTTCTGTAAAGATGCCGACTTTCAGAGTCTCAAGTCTCAAGCAATTGCAAGTTTCAAGCTTTGGTTGGTTTGAGCTATCGTGTTTGTATCTTCCCTTCTTTCTTCTTTAGTTGGAAAAATCGAACAAACTACTGGTAAAATATTCTCACTGTATAAATAAAATAGGGTTATTCGTAGCAATGGTCCCTCAACTATACCCGTAGTTACACTTTGGTCCCTCAATTCAATTATTAGTTACGGGGGTCACTCAACTAGGTGCTATGTTGCACCAGTAATCCCTCCGTCAAACTCTGTTAAATTTTCTGTCAAAAGTGAGGGTAAGTTTGGAAATTCATCCACAACCCCTCCCTCTCCTCCACAACAATCCCTTTCTCTCTCTCTTTCTCTCTCTGAGCGAACTTAAAATTTGCAGCCCCATTGGTGTAGAACAAAAGAAACCCTCTGCACGCCTAGCGGCTAGGCGGGCTAAATTCACGATTAGCAGCTGTGGAAGCAACTGTGTGAGCCCACCATCTGAGATTGTCTTTCATGTCAATTTCATTGCCCAATGCAGGAAACCTCCAATTCATCAATGGCTTCTCTCTCTTTCTTTGATCCCTCACCTTCCAAGCTTTAGAAAGGTAAGACCTTGGAATTGTAGACTCGTCAAAGACCTCATCTTGGCCGTCCTTCTTCCCCAATCTTTGCAGCCCAGGAATGATCGAAGCCAAGTTTGAATCTTCTTTGTCTTCCTCTAAGAAAACAAAACCAAGATCCATAAACCCATTTAGCTCTTCAAATTCAAGGTCTGTCAAGCTCTTGCTCTCACCCTTCTTCTTCTTCCTCCTCCGTCTCGTAATCTTCTTTGGCGACTCTTCGACAAATCTTCTTTGGCGACTCTTCGAC